CGCGCCACCGGCAAATCCCAAACAGGAAAGGCTAGACCAGACAAATCCGGCTTGAGGTGGTGCCATGTCACTTAGTTGACTTCTGTCCAACAAAATAAAGACTATTTATCATACCCCGAGACGTTATGAATATGCCCTAATTGTAAGAGGTAGGAGGTAGGAGATATTTTTAAGCACGTACCATACTCAGACTAATCCTCGTTTGCACCGGACCGACCGAATTAAGGAACAAAGTGCTTGCCAGATTAATATTTCCATATGAGAAGAGGTTCGAACCCTCGACCTCTCTAAGGAACAAGGGTGCACGACAGCATGGTCACTCACGCTAACCAAGCTGGTTATAAAGACTCATAATTTGTTCATCAACTAATAATATTGGGACGCCGGCCCCGACCTCGAGCACACTTACAGTTCATCTCTAAAAGATGATTAATAAATATACTGCTAATGCAATTGCAAGATTGGAAAGAGTTAATAAAAATATTGTTAATGCAATTGTAAGATCAAAAAATAACTTTGCGATGATGGGATATTAGTTGCTATATTCAAAAAGAAAAAAGAAAAAAAAAAAAACAAGAATACTATTTATTCTTGATAAAAGCCAGGGATCATAGTGTTACTCACTTTAATTTTTATTTTATTTTTTCAAAACACACACACACACACATATATATAGTGAGAACACAATGACGAGGAGAAAATTAATAATTACGTGTTCACACTATCAAATGCATTCTTTAATATTTACAATCACAATCTTTCTTGAATACACTTTACATATCATCAAACGCATTAGTAATTTTACAAAGTGCATTTATAGAATCATGAATCTTGAGTGTACTTATACATGTTAAAAAATACACTTAGTGGTGTTGCAAAGTGCACATTCGCACCTAAGCACTAGTTTTTACCTGATCTATTTCTTAATTCGCACCTGAGCACTAGTTCACATGTGAATCGCGCCACCAGCAAATCCCAAACAGGAAAGGGTAGACCAGACAAATCCGACTTGAGGTGGTGCCATGTCACTTAGCTGACTTCCGTCTAACAAAATAGAGACTAATAATTTTTTTGGTCAGACCATGGAGTGTCCTGAGCAGACCCTAACTGTAAAAGGTACTTTTAAACCCGTACCACTAATCTACGTTCGCACCGGACCGACCGAATTAAGAAGCAAAATGCTTGCCAGATTAGTTTTTCTATACGAGAGGGGGCTCGAACTCCCAACCTCTCTTAATGGACGAGAGTGAACGACAGCACGGTCACTCACGTCAACCAAGCTGGTTATAAATACTCATAATCTGGTCATCAACTAATAATATTGGGACGCTGGCCCCGACCTCGAGCACACTTACTGATCATCGCTTAAAAACTATAAATAAATATACTGCTAATGTAATTGCAAAATCATAAATGGTTAGTAAAAATATTGTTAATGCAATTGTAAGATCAGAAAATAACTTTACGATGAAGAGATATAAGTTGCTATATGCACACACAAAAAAAAAAAAAAAAAAAAAAAAAAAAAAAAAAAAAGACCAGAATACTATTCTTGATAAAAGCCAGGGATCATAGTGTTTCTCACTTTCATTTTTTTGTTTTTTTTTCAAAAAACACGTGTGCACACATATATATAGTGAGAACAGGATGACAAGGAGAAAATTAATAATTACGTGTCCAATACTATCAAGTGCACTCTTTAATATTTACAATCACAATCTTCTTGGATACATTTTACATATGAGTAAATACCAGCCATGGCCCCTCGAGTTTGGTGGTTTCACCACCTATAGTCCTTAACTTCCGTAATTACTATCCGTAGTCCTCCGAGTTGCGAAATCTAACCTGCTGCCATCCTTCCATTAATTTCATCCTTCCAAACCGTCAAAAAAAGGGGGTAGATATGTCATTTTCCATATCCTTTCGATGAGCCTATTGCCAAAAACCTCACCCTAACTTCCGTCTTTCTTCTGCACTTGAAAGTGCTCTGAAATTGCGATTTCTTCGAAATTGGAGACGATGGTGGAAGCCGGCTGCTGGTTCGTGTCCACGTCGAAGAGCCCGGAGAGGTCGAAGCTTGAAGATCCAGCAGCGTCCGAGGTGGAGTGGTCGTTGACGATGTCGAAAACGCTTCTTGGAGATTCTTCGTTCTGGGTATCAGGGATTATGGGTTTGGGTTGGGAAGTAGATAAGGTTCTGTGCTACCTTGCTCGGAAGCTGGTCAGAGTCGTCTCCTCCGGGCGTAATCTCATCTTCTCGTCGCAATAGAACCGCCTCCAAACTCCTCGCAATGTCGCCGGTGAACTCCACTGTCCACCGCCTCCGAGTTCGTCAACGGCTGCCGGCTGCCTGTCTTCAGATTTGGAAAGTTGAAATTTTTGATTTTTGATTTTTGATTTTTGATTTCTGATTGCTTGAGCCTTGAGTATCGAAGAAGACAAAAAAAAATTAAAATTTTTGATTGCATTGAGCCCTTGGACTTGATTTCTGATTTTATGAGTTGATTTTATTTGTGTTCTTTGCAATGATAAATATCATATTTTTAGCAGTTTTTTGAATAGTTTTTGTCTGTTCTCCCTTGTGAAGTAGATAAGGTTCTGAAATCTGAAGATGTAGCCAGGCAGGGCACCACAAAGAACTGAACTTTCACATGTTGAAAGCATAAAAAAATTTCTCAAAAATTTACATTAAATGGTGGCAATATAATGTCTTTTTCAGCTTCTGCATCATCCATGGTGAATTTCAATGGCGGTGGAGAGATGGAATGCGGCGGCAATGAGGACTACGACGGCAATGGGTTCTATCAGGCGAAGAAGAAGCGGCGGCTCAACCTGAGCAAGTACATTTTCTGGAGCAAAGTTTCGAGGTGGAAAACAAACTTGAACCAAAGAGGAAAGTCCAACTGGCTAAGGACTTGGGACTGCAATCCAGACAGGTTGCAATTTGGTTCCAGAATCGGCGTACCAGATACAAGACAAAACATATTGAGAAAGAATATGATTCCTTGAAGTCTTGCTATGATAAACTCAAAGATGATTGTGATTCCCTCTCCAATGAACTCAAATGACATATCTACCCCTACTTTTGACGGCTTAGATAGGAGGAATTAACGAAAGGATTGTAGCAGATCAGATTTCACAACTCGGAGGATCACAAATGGTAATTACGAAAGTTAGGGACTATATGTGATGAAACCACCAAACTCGAGGGACCTTGGCTGGTATTTACTCTTTCACATATCATCGAATGCATTAGTAGTTTTACAAAGTTCATTTATAGAATCATGGATCTTGAGTGTACTTATACATGCCAAAAAATACACTTTAGTGGTGTTGCAAAGTGCACATTCGCACCTAAGCACTAGTTTTTCCTGATCTATTTCTTTTATATATATATATATATATATATATATATATATATATATATATATATATGACAATATTTCCCGTGTGGTCGGTGCGGATTTACCATTAGGTATGCAAAAATGCATCACACAGTGTTTGGAAATGCACACCTAATGGTGCATTTCCAAACACTTTGTGGTGCATTTTTGCATACCTAATAGTGAGTGACTGCACGGTCACACGGAAGCATTATCCGCACGGGAACCTGACCTTATATATATATATATATATATATATATATATATATATATATATATATATATGAGCAAAACAAAGATGGCATCTTTACATAAAACTAAATGTTTACACAGCTCAAATGTACTTCTCCATTCAACAAGATCTTCACTACAAAGAATTCAAGACTGACAAGTTCTGTGTATATATATATACATACACACACACACATATATATACATACTATGGGCTAACTAGCTGCAGTTGTACAAAACGAGATTAGCTAGCACAATATGCATGTACATCAATGATCGATTTATTGATAGGCGTAACAGAAAAAAATGCACGGCAGCAGAGATAATGTCTCAGTCAAGTTCGCTGTCAGGGTAAATCTATTTCCTTTTCAATGAACAAAACTGGTTATAACCTTAATTCTAGGCTTAAGTCCTCGCATGCAAGCAAAGGGTGTGAACAATTCAAATGGATGAAACCCAAGATGCATGCCAAAGTAACAGAACAAAATGCTTATCATATACACTACTGTACCAACCATCTGCCGAGTTGAAGCCTTCAGCCAGAAATGCCTCAGATGATTAGAGGGGGAAATGATTTTGGCATGAGAGATGATGCAGAGATAAACGAAAGAAAGAAAAATAAGTCATAGCAACGGGTCTTTGATAAAATTGGTAACAAAATCAAGGTTTGGAGAGGCGTTTTATGGGCATGTATTGATAGCTTTACATATTAGCTTTCCCCGACCCCCGTTCTATTGGAGTCTACTAAAGGACGTACATTCACATGCACAAGTACTTCGACTGGACCACTCTTACTCATCCCCGAAAAGAAAAAGTATGGCTGCCCATAAGTTATGGGTGTTTCACTACCTCAAAAACATCTTTAATATTTTACCACTGCAAGCATGTATAAATCCTAATCTATATTTCCTATAAAGTTTAGCAATAAATAAATAAATGGATCAACAAACCAAGATTTGAAAGAGATGGCAATACCTACCTCTTCTGTCACGAAAAACGAGTTTCGTCCAACCTGCTAATTAATGGAAACCACAACTTAGATTTTGCTCAATTGGAGTCATAAGCATATGTATGAGGAAACTTACTACCTTATTTGACGCTAATAATCAATAATAAATAATCAATCTAGCCACCTAGATTTGAACAAGGCCTTTCAGGATCATTCAAAGTCCTCAGAAAGTTTTGGCGTGACAGAAAACAGAAAACTGCCACTAAATTGCAGACAGGGACAGTACTGAAGACTTTCCCGCAAGCAATGCTGGCATGCAGTCCAGGAGCGGCCTGTGCTCTCCATTAGCTGCAAGCCAGTCTTTTGTAATAATGATAAACTTTTTAAAGAACATTTGGTAATTAAGGTCAAAAAAGATCCAACTATGCTACTTAATTCGACAAGATAGCAGACAAGTTAGGCAACTAAATAGATTCAATTAACAGTAACTCTTCACAAATGAAAACATTATGATCTTAAAAAACAAAAAGAAACGCGGGTAACATGTAAGAGTATACAGAGGTTTGCTAGTTGCATAGGATAATGGGAGCAGAGCTTGGTACTGTATGGTAGTCTCGGGACATGGCAAATTTTCAATAATAGGTATGGAGTAAAATCTTCAGAAATTGGCCCTTCTAAGCAAAAGCATCAAGATGGGTCCATGAGTTTTCCGAATCCTCATTCATCTGGTCTTCTGGTTTAGGCAGAAGGCTTCATCAAAGGGGGCAGAGTAGGCTGGGCTTCGGGCTTCAGATATGCAGCTGTTTTGGTATGGAGGGAATGGAAACAAGGGGAAAAGAACAGCATCATCAGTTACGTTAGAGGGAGAGAGGTTAGGTAATTCAGTAAATTGTCATAGTTATGATAACAGCTGCTAATGAGAAAAACTTGAACACTTTTGTGAAGAGGGAAAGAAGATGAGGCAATGGTGCAAATAGAGAATCTATGGTATACCTGAACATCAGGCAAGAAAACTTTAGTAACCATAACTTTTTCTCCGGGGTTCATGCTTAGATCCAGACAACCTGATAAAACGAGTTCACATTGATGAATCAGAAAATATACGTAACACAACCCCAAGCATTTGAGCAAAACTAGGGGCTTTTGACTGAAATAGGAAGAATTGGAGTGGGCAGGACAAAAATGCGTTTGAACCTTAAAAAAAATAATAATTGAACCCTAAATACAGAGAGACTGCATATTTATGGGAATTAAATTTTATGTCAAAAGCATTTCAGAAATGCATCTTTGACCTGCTTTAACTCAAACGCATTTCCTAAACTAGTTTCACCCATTTTTTTCAAAAATTCAAAATTTCCCATTTTTGCCCAGCCCACACAAAGTATTTCCAAGAGTTACACTCAGCACATGATTAACATAACTTTTAAGGTCTTTGCCATTTTTCATCCCCCAGCTTATAATGTTTCATAATGCCAAGAAAAAGACAGAAAAAATGTACAGTGGCAAGTGGATTGGATGAAAGAAACTTACCCAGAACCACCAGAACGACCCAGTGGTTGTCCTTCATATGCTCCATGCCTGTTGCTGCTAGTCTGCAATTGAATTAAAAGAATGGAATGATGGAAATAGAAAGGAATGCACATAAGAGGGCTAATTAAAAATGAAAAGGCAATTACCAGATGACCACCATAACGTCTGTAACCATCACTGCGTGGGAGATCACTCAAGCCACCATAATCACCAGGATAAGAATGTCCAAGTCCATGCCTTCTAGCATCTTTGCTTTCATAGGTATTTGAAGTATCAGTTGACATTGGAAGATATGGAAGAACAGGCACAAAGGCAGATACAGCACCTTCCCTCCCAAAAAGATTTGCCCTCAGGCGTGAAGTTACTTGTAAGAGCGCATCCTTTGAAACATCAATATCTCCAGAAATCTGGCAGAAGTTGAAATAGTAAAAAGGATAACCCATCCGAAATCAAAGGGAATCAGAGAAAAGATGAGTACAAAATGAGGTTCGAATGCCACTAAACAATAAGCATGTTTACCAGCACCATCTCATCATCTTCAGCTGCAACCTTGGGAAGGTTTTCCTTTGAAAGTATGCGAATGTTAGCTTTAGTCACTTTCCTCATCTCATTGATTATTGATCCTCCCTTTCCAAGAAGACAGCCTATACGAGAGGTAGGTACAAGCAAGCGGGTGGTGAATGAAATAAGACCTGAATCTCTTTCAACTTTCTCACTACACCTGGGTTGCAGGCGCAGTGCTGCATCTACTGTTGGAGAGTATGAATCCTCAAAAAACTATTAAAAGCCATTGCAAAAAAAAAAAAAAAAAAAAAAAAAAAAAAAAAAAAAAACCTATGTTAAATGAAAATTGATGAAACCAAACTTTGGCAAAACATCCACAGAGAACACTAGATGCTTACTTCTTTTGCTGAAATAGTTATCAGACACTCGTCTCCTTCAGCAGTAGAGCTATCAACTTTGATACCTGCACCAGACTCTTGTCTAATCTGGTTAATTATGACACCACCCTTGCCAATTACACCTCCAATATTCGCATTGGGACAAACCAGACACAGAGAAAACTCTTTTGAGGATGTCTGATCCCTGGGAGTTGCGTAAAGAGGTCGTGACCATTCTCCGCCATCACCTTTGTAACCCCCATAAGGCCCCATGAGTGGAGCTAATCCCACCAGTGGAGCACCAGGAGCACCAGTAAAAGAACCACCTGAAGGGTAGACTGTTGAAGCAGCAGAGGCAAACAAGTGTTGAGAACGGGATGGGTTATTGTGAATGCGAGCTGCTATCTGATACAGAGCCTTCCTCACAACATGTGCTTCACCAGATATCTGAAACTCAATAAACCATAAATGGATGAGCAATAAAACTTATTCGGTTTACTTATGGCCTTGAAATTAACACTGGCAAAAACAATTAAACTCAACCTCAACATAGATTACAAGACTGTGGTAAAGAAAAATGGAGAAGACTTTGAGATCACAACACTACCTGCACAAGTTCATCAGAGCTTAGTGCACATGCAGGTAAATGGTTATCCTTTAAGATGCGAATCTGTGCACCAGTTTCACTACGAAGATCCTGAACTATCTGTCCACCTTTCCCAATAATACATCCAATCTGATCCGAGGGTACCAACAGCCTAGCAGTCACACGCGGAGCATCCTCAGAGTCCTCAATTACCATGTCATCACCAACAATTCTGTCATGGACCTTGAAGAGGGCATCTTGTGCTGGACACACTTGATCTTCAGTGTCCTCAAAATCATTTGTTTCCTCGCTTGAGCTGTAGATAGTGACAACCCGCTCATCACAATCACGAACCGTCTCACCAATCCTGATCTTCGATTTAGTCTCTGCCCTTAATTGCTTCACTATCTCCCCTCCCCTTCCAAGTATACTTCCTATCTTTTTTCCAGGACACAAGTACCGATACACCGTATCCTCAGGTTCAATTGACAAATGGTCCTTACCACCACCAGAATTCCTTCTTTTATTTGCTCCATTATCAGCATATTCAGACTGAGAATAAGAACGTTTCCCATGACTACTCCTTTGACCAGCCATACTGGAATCAACCAAACATGGGATTATTATCATTTATAATTCTTAACAATAAAAATGCTATCTCAGTCTAGTTATAGTCAATCACTCAATCAATGCATCTCACAAAGCCTAGTAATAAAACTTAATACTTAACCAAAGACAAACTGTGCCAATAATGTCTCTTAACTACAACCTGAATAAATGTCAAAAATATCAATTAAGCTGAAATCAAAATTCAAGAAAATTTCGGATTGCCCAGTATTCCACCAATTAGTAATCCAAGATTCCAAACATTTCATAAAGATCCAATATTTACCCTCCTATGGGGAAAAAATAAAACCATTAGAAAAAAAAAAAAAAAAAAAAAAAAAAAATTACCCGGTTGCAGCTAAGTTAGGATCTGGGAGAGTGCTAGAGATTGCGAAAATCTTGACAAGCAGCAAAAGAAGACGAAAATGGCGAAATTCTGAAGGGGAACCAAGAATTTTGCTAGTCGATTTAAACCTGGATTTCTAACAGACTTATCTTCTTCTAGCGAGCTGAATGGAGCATGGAGAGGCTTACCGTGCGCGACCCGTACGACGACTTGACGATGATGTATGAGTTTGACCGGCCAAATCTTCTTCTTTTACAAGGAACGAGCGTTTCTCCCTCTTATCTGGCGCGCCTGTTCTATTGGGCCGATTTTCTCCGTCCGTATCCGTATTTTGTATCTAAACAACTCTTTTGGGAAATATTTTTGTATTGTTTTATAAATAAATTAAGAGTTTGTGAACAAGTTTTGAGTAGTTTCTCAATTAATTGAAAATTCAAAAATACATTTTGGTTTCAATTTTAAAAATAAATAAAAAATTTGGGTCGAATGTTAAATTAACAATTTTAAATTCAATTGCTATATTTAATCTTATACTGAGTATTTCACATCTTTTTTTATCAAATATGAGAGGAACACCCATGAAAGCTAGCTACACTCGTTTCCTTCTCCTCTATTGTTGGGGATTTGCCTGGAAAAATTTGCTCCATGTTGCTCCATGTTTGGGAGGGCACGCGTAGCGATGATATTAACGACCCTGTTTTGCTTCCTGTAGACATGATAAAACTCTACGTCTACAAAACCGGTGACTTTTTTGAAGCACGCCCGGGTGATGTTGTTCCTTTGCTCACGCGTGCTAAGGTTACCTTGTAAGATTTCAACCATAGATTTGGAGTCACACTCAACAATGAGTCTTCTCGTGACATTTTCCTTAGCCATTTGCGTCCCTTGTATAGTAGAACTGCCCATGCCTCTGCTTCTTCTATCGAGCATCTTCCTATATTGTAGGTAAATTAAAGCCTTTACGCCAATTTCCATGATGATCGCGTAAGACACCTCCACATCTTGTTGCGTCGTTGCCTCCTTTGCAGTAGCCGTCCACATTTAGCTTCATCCACCCCGGATCAGGTTTCTTCCAAGTAACACAGGAGTCTACAAACCGCACACTATTGTTGACGAGAGCCCAACGCTTCACAACAAGCATTGTGCACTTCAACTTCATATAGGTTGATCCACTCGAGTTTTTGATTCAAAGTAATGCTCCTCCGACCGAATACTTCATTTCGCATCTTTACAATTGATTACTTTTCTTATTCTCATTATTTTGTCTTTCATTCTTGATCATCTTCATGGGTTCTAGGACAAATATAGCTGACAACAACACATACATATTGTCATACTCATACTCATGTTCGATAATATCGATGTCCTTTAGTTTCTTGTATTGTGCTTTCATGCAGGAACAAAGAGTAGATAACAATATGGGTATGACATTGTTACTATTATAGAGTATAGAGTTTAAATCCACCCCCCCCCACCCCCCCCTTTTGTTAATCAAATGGATGCATGAGATACTCACTAGGTTCAATTTCTTCACGCAATAATGCTTCTCGTCCTTGTATCAACTAGACAATCATCATGAATAGCTCTTCTAATCTTCAGCATAACTGTACGTGGTTCTCCCAAATGAGAGGTCACATATTCGAATCTCATTGGAGGCATTGATTCGTTGTCAACACTACATTGTAACGGAGTCAATAGTACTAAAAAAAAAAATCATCTATAGTAGCTCATTGAATTATCTCAAATTACACTACCATTGGATTGCAATGCTAACAAACATGTTTGCCAACACATTCGCTTCTCTATACGCGTGTTCCATGCAATGTTCCTGTTGGTTTTATGACTATGGGTAGTCAGTCGCCGGTCCAACACTACTGGGAAATTGATCGGAATAACGTCAGAAAAGTGCATTTTGAGTATTTAGCGAGCTTAACTCCTGGCAGATATTTATACAAGAGGATTAAGCCTATGGAAGGCAAGGGGTCAATCTAAACCAGGAGAGTAAATCGATCATAAAATGTCTATAATTTCTTTCCTAATTCTTATGGAATATTCTTTGATTTGCCGTGAAATCTGCTCTGTATTGCTTTCCACATAAGGTGATTTCCTTCTCGAGATGGAAGAGGAACCAATCCTTTATAAACAACATGTCCACCATCTTGATGTTTCTTTCGCCGACCCCTACTCTTAGTCGGCTCAACTCTCGTTTGACCGTCACCTCCTTCCGGCGATCCGACTCATCATTCTATCTGACCGCTCAGCGTTCGCCTTACTCCTCCGAGCACGTAACATGTCAACCAACTCCTTCATGTGACCCCTCACCCGACTCCATCTGAAGATCCTTCGCTCAACTACTCTATTTTGAGAACTACCCGACCCCTCACTCGGCATGGCGCCTGACTCCTCCACCTGGCATACTGTCGGACACTTATACTCGGTATGATACCTGCCTCCTTCACTCGGCATACCACTTGCCTCCACTACTTGGCATGCCACTTGCCTCTTTCACTCAACATGCCACCTGTATCCTTCACTTGGCATACCGCCTAACTCTTCTACTATGAAACCGCCTGGTCTCCTTCGACCAACTTTCCATCCGACTCCTTCCCCCGGTTATCTCTTGATCCCCATAGTCAATCGGGTGCATGTTCTTCCCATCAGTTCTCAATCTTTATTGAACAACTTTTTGCTAACGTCGATGAGATTTCCTAAGGCTCTCTTAACCATATTCATCCCCTTGATCCATATATTTACATTGTTCAAGTTGGTTTGAATCACAAGCTTGTGGTACCTTTTGTCCCATGATTATTGAATTCTTTTTAGAACTGTTCATTCCTCCTCATTAGATACTTGAATCATATAAAGCTTATTTTCCACACACCATCGTTGTCTATCATTGAAGTCCTCTTGATCCATATGGTTACATCTTAGACCTGACGTCCCGACTTCTACTTTAATATATCGTGAGATTAATGGGTTAAATTGATAGTCTATTTTGACAGTTCTACATTCTTTGACAAGTTGCCAACAGTCAGGGGCAGTCCCGGTAAATCGTAAAAATGGAATCCATATATAAATGATAAAAAAGAAGGCGCACGCGGTAATGCTCTTTCTGTTACACCCGTCGGGAAAAAAATCCGTTCTTTTTCTAGAAGGCCACCACAGCAGCTAAGCCGATACCAAAACCTAGTTTCACCGGAGTTTCATCGTATTCGGCGGCGGATTTCAGTTATCCTGTCGCCTGACTCGGACCTTAAAACCCTTGAACCGAATCGGAACTCCAATCGATCGATGTCAACGTCGGGGCAGCCCCAGTTTCGGTACACACAAACGCCTTCGAAGGTTCTTCACCTGCGGAATCTCCCATGGGAGTGCATCGAAGAGGAGCTAGTCGAGCTTTGCAAACCCTTCGGCAGGATCGTTAACACTAAGTGCAATGTTGGCTCCAATCGCAACCAAGCGTTTGTCGAATTCGTAAGTCGCGTTTCTCTGTTCTGGAGATAATAGATGCTATCATTATCCTGCCACTCACTTTGTTCTTTTGATTGAATTTGGATAAATTATATAAAATAAATTGTTAGTTTTTTGTTCTAGCTCTTATCACTTCTATCTTAACTGTCCTAGCTAATGGTGTTTGTTTGAATAATAATGGTCTTATCTCTTATTTCTATTTGCTGACCATGACTGAGTTGATTGAGATGTCAGTTGCAAATATTACGATTCAATTATTGTAACCTTTTCTTCTTTCACACATTTTCATGGTGCAGGCTGATCTTAATCAAGCTATCAATATGGCCACCTATTATGCTTCGTCTTCAGAGCCTGCACAAATTCGTGGCAAAGCTGTGTATATTCAGTATTCGAACAGGCATGAAATTGTCAATAACAAGAGCCCTGGAGATATTCCAGGGAATGTTCTGCTGGTAACTATTGAGGGTGTTGAAGCTGGTGATGTCAGCATTGATGTCATTCATTTGGTAAGTATGCTTCTTTATTCTCCTAAGTATGAAATTCTTTTGTAAACTGAATGCATTATCATCCATAAAAGAGAAAGCCTTTTGTGTAATTTCAGGATTTTGATGTCCTTATTATGATGACTACTTTTGACAGACATGCATTTATTTTAAATGAAATTATTATTTAATTTGATATTTTAGGTATGAAAAGGCAGAAGCCAAGATCTCCACACCACATGTTAGTTCATCTATTATCTTAAGTTTCTAACCCTAGCTGGAAAAAAAGGGTTATGTCTCTTGCTTCTGCTTCAAAACTTGTCAAGAAAAAAAAAATTATTATTATTTATGGAGGCTGGTTTGATGAATGTACTCACTTTTGGAAGAAGAAATTTATCCTATTTTTATATGAGATGCTTGACCGTCAGCTTTTGGGTTCTTAAGATTTTACTTATGTGGGGAACATGTACTCATATTTTCTCCCAGAAAATGCATTTTCCCCTACAACTTTTTTCTCCAGAAATAGATTCATTAAACCATTCATTGTTGACTCAAGTTAGTTGAATCACAGATGGTCATAATTTAATATCTTTTGTTGGAGACACCGGATATATTATCATTTGGGTCATACAAATTTCTAAGGCTTGCATATACAGGTGTTATTCTCTGGACTTAATTCTCACATACATATGTTCTATTTTAAGATGACATTTGATTCCATGAAGTTTTTTTGTATTGCAGTTGGTTTTACTCTTTGTTTGCCTGGTCTAATATACTACTTGCATTTAACAACAATTCTTCACAGGTATTTTCGGCCTTTGGTTTTGTGCACAAGATTGCTACCTTTGAAAAAGCAGCAGGATTTCAGGTCACTTTGCAATTATGTGTCTCGGAATTTTAATTATTTTATCCTTTTTCTTCATTGCCCCTTTCCCCTAGCTATATAACACTGTTTATTGCTGACAAACGTCTTCTGCATTTTGACAGGCTTTAGTCCAGTTTACTGATATTGAGACTGCAGCTACTGCTAGAGAAGCATTGGATGGGAGAAGCATTCCAAGGCATGCACTTTTTGGTTTTTAATTATTATACAGGTTTTTAGGGCATTTAGTGATCTTACTCTAACTAATAATGTTACCTTTTTTAAAGGTACCTGCTTCCACAGCATGTTAGTAACTGTAATCTGCGCATCTCATTCTCCGCTCATACTGATCTTAATATAAAATTCCAGTCTAACCGGAGCAGGTATAGAAGCTTGTTTAGTTCTTTTTCTTCGAGTTCTAACTTCATCTGCTTAAGCTTTTCGCTTGATGATTCTTGCTAATTTTAAATCTTTATTTTACAGTTGAGCTCTTGCTAATTGATATATGTGCTTCTTGTCATCTAGGGTTTAGTGAAGCTCGGCAGCTAAAACACAGTTGTGTTTGCCATGGATACTTAGTAATTTTCTTAATCTCATTAGTCATTATAGTGGTTTTTGTTGAATCTGTAACTATTAACTGCTGAAAGTTCTGAGCTCCATAATTCTTTATTTTAATACACAGCTGACTTAATGTTCCTCTTTACCCTTTCATTAGTTTAGTTTGGCACTTTTGCTATCCTTGTATATAATGAGTTTTACGCTTTATTCATTCAAAAGGTCTGTATGGGTGCAGCTCTTTTGATTTACTTTTCCTATGAATTATCTAATCTGAGTTTTTTTCAGTTTATTTTTCATTTCTTTTCTGTAGGTATATCTATTAGTAACAGTGCTGTTTTCTTTCCCTGGGATTTACATAATCGCTGCTTGATTTCTAACAACTAGATTAACTACCCCCCTCCCCGTCTTCTTATTTTGTGCTTACACTTAAAAAATATTTATTTCTGACATAGAGTTGTTTGCTTAAATATACAGAGACTATACAAATCCATATCTTCCTGTTAATCCTACAGCAATGGAGGGATTCGTTCAGGTATTTTCCTAGGATTTGTACGTTTTGCTACATCCTTGTACGTGTGACAGGAGCTAACCAGCTGTAATATCCAGCCTGTTGTAGGTGTAGATGGAAAGAAAAAAGAGCCCGAGAGTAACGTGCTTCTTGCCTCCATTGAAAATATGCAGTATGCTGTCACTGTGGATGTTCTTCACACGGTATTCTGTTGTTTCTTCTTTCATCCTTTTGTGCTTGCTACCTCGATTTCATTTTTGTGTTTCACTTATCATCATTTGGTGTTCTAATTGCCAAGCACCTTGTGCTCAGATGACATCTCTGTGACTCCCCTTGAGGGATCCCGGTGGTGGGGTATTGACTCTTTGGGCTGCAGTAGTTAGAGAAAGTATAGAACAGATACTACCTTGTAATAGAGTCAATAGTATTCAAAATTTTTTTGGTGTTCTAATTCTAGCTCAATAATTTTTTTCAAGGTATTCTCTGCATTTGGTACAGTCCAAAAGATTGCTATATTTGAGAAGAACGGGGGAACCCAAGCATTCATTCAGTATCCCGGTCTGTATGAAGCATGTGCTTTTTCGTAGGATAGTCTGCCATTAGATTTAGACCATGTCGGTAAGCAAAATAACATTTGCATGTTTGCTTTGTTGCAGATGTTACAACTGCCACTGTCGCAAAAGATGCATTAGAGGGGCATTGTATCTATGACGGTGGCTACTGTAAGCTTCATCTATCGTATTCTCGTCACACTGATCTGAACGTAAAGGTATAAATATGTTCTCTTCAACAGAAAAATGATTAATTGCTGATTGAAAAGTCCTTGAAAACATGCTTCTTCTTCACACCGATGCCCTTTAGTTTTATTCACATGATCATGCTTCCCTCAAATTTGATTCTGAGCAGGCATACAGCGACAAAAGTAGGGATTACACAGTCCCGGAATCAGGTTTGCAACAACCTTCTGCCCTCCCTAATACGGCACCCGCCTGGCAAAACCCACAGTACGTTTCTGTACACTCTGCAGCTCCTCCTGCCACCATGCCCATGCAAAATCCTTGGGATCCAACCATGCAGGGCGGAAGACCAGCCTTCATTTCATCTCCAACCACATTTCCCGGTCAAGAATATGCTTCTCCCCTGGTTCCATTTGGCGCAAATCAGCCTGCCCATCAAGGCATTCCACCTCCCGGTCAGCCTCGTTAACTTTTAGCTTTTGCTTAGGTTGGATCTCGTAGAACACAACAAAGCTGTTCATATGTTTGGTTTTGTGTAATCTGTGTGAGCTTGCTTCTAACATCACTCTATTTGCCTCAAGCATGGATACATTAACTACTACAATATGCATCTACTCATTCTTACATGCATTTCTTCAGTAACTTACTATGCACTTCCTTGTCGCCTTGTTTCTTGGACTCTGAGAGGACATCTCCAGTTGGATGAAAGCTGGAATGCACTGATTCATTAATTCATGCTACAGTAGGTGAATTGACTCATGTCCCGTTTCATTCAGCATTCTAATCTTACTGCCACTTCTTTAATCCGATCATTTACTCGAAAACCTGCCACTGCTATTTAAATGTCTTGTAATCTTAATTGACAAAGGACTATAAGAAGAAGAACATTTCTCCCAAAGATTGGAATCCCAACTCCAAGGGCCATCACAGTGACTCAATGGCTCAACAAACATGACAAAATGTCAGTGTGCATAAGGGATCTGTCCACTTTGTGCATAATCTTTACACTGTTGCTATCGAGGTTCGAATTTTGGTCTCTTCTTCTAAATACTGTCTACTGAACCAGTGAATTAAGCGAACTTGCTTTGTCGATTTTCAAATATTGTCTACTGAATCAGTGAATTAAGCGAATTGCTTTGTCTGAACACTGTATACAACAATGCATCACCCAACGATATGACTCCAAGATTGAACGACAAGTATGAGTAATTATGAAATCCAAGAATTAACAGTCCAAAAGATATTTATTCCGATGTTCATGTGAAGCTACGAGACATGTTGTCGCGTGACGTTTTCTCACGCTCATAACTGCTTCATGTGCCTTCTCAACTATAAACCATACGGGTCTCTTTTGGCAGCTGTCCTAGTTTACCTTATTACTTTCATGGTCCACCTCCCACTAGGTACCCTAAAACCTAACCACACCCACCCAACTTCAATTTCAGGATAAACGAAAACGATCAAGAATATCATCAAATTATTTGCGAAACAGTAATTAAGCCATCAAACTGTAAATTCTTTTTTATTATTAAACATATGATTTTGACACTTACATTTATGATTGTCTGACTAGCATACCCACTAAACCCATAAAATCTATCTCTAGCTACACCAGATGTGTGTTTGCTTCATGCCTGTTGTTACCGGAACCGCATTAAATTCTCTGGACCCCGGCGGCAAGAGCCGAGTCCCACGGCGGAGATGTGGGTACCAAATTGGCCGGAGATGTGGTGATCATGTGAGGAGTTGCTTTACGTCGCTTTCCATGGCTGCAACTTAGATCTCCTTTTGTCATTCTCTTAGAGACACAACCATGTGCTCTTACATGCTCGTGCATTTTAACCACTTTATACATAGTACTACTAGGGCTTTTGTTGTTTCTCCTTCTACCTTTTAAAACATAGTACTACTTTTTACCCTCCTAAAAATCAAATCTTCAACTTTATCTTAAAACCAAGACTTACCGCTAGCCGTCGGTGCTTGTAAACTATCATACCTTTATTTTTGATTCACGTAAAAACTTGTTGTTGGACTACCAGAACGTGTGCTCTGTGACCCTAACTTGCAAAGAAACTAGAACGTGTGCTCTGTGACCCTAACTTGCAAAGAAACTAAATCAGCTTAGGTTACTTCACTGCTGGAAATTATGGAATTTCCGACCACCTGAAAGTTATCTTAAATCAAGTCGAAAGCAAAAAGTGGTCGCAAATAGCAACAAAGGTTTTTCCGGATACCAAAAGTGGTCGGAACAAGGCTTTCGACTTGATTTAAGATCACTTTCAGGTGGTCGAAAATTCCATAATTTCCAGCAGCAGTGACTATAGTTGATCGGCTCAAAGGCCAATAATATAGACAGCTTTTCGTGTGAGTCAAATTTGAAACTTTGTGATTACTAAGTTGATATCGGGTCAACTTGGATGGTTTATTTGGTTGCTAACAACTATATGGCAACAATATGTGTAAGTCCGGAGGAATTCACGGGCAGCATTCAAAGTTGTTCCAATTGGTTGAACATCACAAGTCAAGTTTGAAATGTCAAAAAATTAAAGCAGTATAATAATGGCATCTTTTTCTCAAGAATACTTCTAAAAGACAATAGGACCCTCCATATCTGCATACCAGATTTTAGGTCATCTCCTGCATGCTCTCTTTTCTTCTCCAGCTATTAAGTCTTTCCACTAATCACGGCTTCACAGATCATAACCCTACCATTTTGGTGCCAATCAACTTTTTTAAGTTCTAACAATCTCTTGAAAATCAGGACATCACTTTCACACTATCCCCAATACGTCACCATTCAACACCCAAAAAGATAAAAAAACGTGTCAGTCAGTAATCAGGACTCAGCTAAATTAGTATTATTTTCCGGGATTAAAATAAAAATTGTAACGAGGATTGACAGAATGACACAGCTAAGAATTGACGGCACCATGTTTTTCTCAAGCCTGTCAATTCTTTCAAACCAAAAGCCCCCACAATACACATATGCCATGTTACACCCTCTTGGAAGTGTAATTTTCTTTGAATAATGAGTGTAGATGAAATGAAATCTGTACTGAACTGTAGCTGTGAAGGGGCCTATTTCATTAGAGATGTTGGCTTCCTCATCCCTCAAGTTGTGTGTAATCCCTTTCTGGGTTAGATTAAGTGCAGCTAACATTTAAAACTGTGGTCTGAGAAGAAAAAGTTAACAGCCCTTTTTTCACCATGCATGGAGGAATAAGAAAGAAAGAAAGAATGACAAAAAGTGGCAAGGGTCAACATCTGTTGCCTTCCTTCTATTCTGTGGTCTCTCTGCATGTGTTGTTGTTCTGCTTTGTGAAGAATCTAAGTGAATGAAACTCATTCAATTCTACTTTTACAGACCCGACCAAACATAATTAATTCCACTTTTTGATTCTATCCTCCTTAGGTTGGGTTTGATGGCCATGTTATTCTTGGTATCAGATTCTCCCATGATAAGATTTTGTTCCTAATTTTCAAGAATGTGTGAATGGCCTTACCCTTTTTTTTGAGTAGTCTACTCAACTACTCGAGCATGTTTACCAGTTAAAATCTGCCTTGTGATCCTAGCTGGTAAAGGATCAGAAGGTAAATCAACCTAAGTCCAAAAAAGCCAATAAAGCGTCAAACTTGTAACATTATAGTTACCAAATCAACACCAGTATGACCAATTTGGTTAGAATTGCCTCTAAAATGACCTTACCTTTGATCATCTCTCCGACTACCAATAACTTTTTTCCGGAATTGTAATGACATCAATCATATCATTGTTAAAACCCTTTGCATGCAGATAAAAATCTAAGGTTCCGACTTGCATAGTTAAAGAGTTTTGAGTCAGTTCTTTTTGGATAAAAGTAAGTGTGACTCGGACACTCTTATAGTTAATTAAAGAGCTCTGGGTGAGACCTTATCGGATAAAAGTAGGTGTGACCCAAACTGAAAGGTTAACTTTCAAGTGTCCACGAGAGGTAGGGTGATGATTTTACTGATGATTGGCAGATGTTTTCTACCATGAATGAGTGGTAAGGATCATCTTTCTTGGCTATTTTAGGAGGAAAATTTTCTGCAAGTAGAGCCTGGCCCACCCCACGTTGGTTTGAAAGACGACTTGCAGAAAACAACGTACGCGGTTTTCATTACAATTTTCAAACAATTAAACCACCCAGAAAACTGGTAATTTTATCAGCTGGATCGGATGATGGGATGGTCCCCAGTGGCCTGGAAACCAGAAGGGGTCACAGCTCAACACTTGAATCCCTCTATTTATTCTCATTAAATGCTCAAGTTTTCTCTTCACATCTCCCCAGTATTCCTCTACCAAGCAACTTTAATTCAATTCAATTCAACCATTCTGGTATGGGGCAATTGCATTAGTTCCTGGGTTTTGAGTTCTCCATCTTCTTGTTCTTCCACATTAATGCTGACTGTTCTGAGTTCATATCTGCAGGAAAGGAAAAGCAGAAACAATAATGGCGGTTCTTGAGCTTCTTCTGGTCGGAGTTCTTGCTACGTTGTCTCCGGTGCATGGCTACTGGGGCTGGAGCAGCGCTCGCGCCACCTTCTACGGCGGCGGTGATGCTTCTGGAACAATGGGTATGCACCATTTTAGCGAAACTTTGCCGCATTATTTTCCGTTCTTAAAGCTTAATGGGAATTTTGACGATTCTTGATTTTCAGGCGGAGCTTGCGGCTATGGGAACCTGTACAGCTCAGGCTATGGCACCAACACTGCCGCACTCAGCACAGCTCTCTTCAACAATGGCCTCAGCTGCGGCGCCTGTTTCCAGCTAAGGTGTGTGAACGACCGCTCCTGCCTCCGCGGCGTAATCACCGTCACCGCCACCAATTTCTGCCCGCCCGGCGGCTGGTGCGAGCCTCCCAACCCCCATTTTGATCTCTCTCAGCCTGTTTTCTTGAGAATTGCCCAGTACAGAGCCGGAGTTGTTCCCGTTGCTTACAGACGGTAAATAAACTTCAATTATCATTTTTCTTATTTTTCAAAGTTAGAAATGTGTATTAAATGTATCCGACCAAACAAGATAGTGAAAAGGTAAATTCTGTGACCCAATAATAGCTCATTAGGTAGAAGGACCAGCGGTTTATTAGGTGGGAGGTCCGATGTCCCACATAGGGCCACCAGTGTTACTCCCACACCACACTATCATGACTCGATTTTGTGTCATGCTACAGACCATTTACTTCAGTTCTTCAATTTCATTTCTTTTCTAGTTAGAAATATACAGTAAAAGTATCCTGACCAGACAAGATAGTGAATGGACAAATATGGTGACTCGGTAGCCCATTAGATAGAAAAATCAAGGACCTATTAGGTGAGAAGTTGAGTGTCCAGTACCCACAAAGAGCCACCAGTGTTACTCCCTCTGTCATGGCTCGATTTTGTGTCATGCTACGACCATTTACTTCAGTTCTTCAATTTCATTTCTTTTCAAGTTAGAAATATGTAGTAAATGTATCTTGACCAGACAAGATAGTGAATGGATAAATATAGTGATTTCATAGTCCATTAGATAGAAGGACCAACACCTATTAGGTGAGGAGTCCAGTGTCTAGTGTCCATAAAGAGTCATCAGTGTTACTCCCTCTGTCATGGCTCGATTTTGTGTCTTGCTACTGTCACAAGTCAATCTTGTGTCTTTGCTCATAATCTAATATGAATTTGTGTTATATATGCAGGGTGCCTTGCAGGAGAAGTGGAGGAATCAGGTTCACCATTAATGGCCATGCTTTCTTCAACCTGGTTCTAGTAACCAACGTGGGAGGCTCCGGCGACGTACACGCCGTGTACATCAAAGGATCAAGAACCGGGTGGCAAATGATGTCCAGAAACTGGGGCCAAAACTGGCAGAGCAACGCCAACCTCAACGGCCAAAGCCTCTCTTTCCGGGTAGTCACCGGCGACGGCCGCAGCCTCGTATCCTACAACGCCGCTCCGGCGGGCTGGTCCTTCGGCCAGACCTACTCCGGCGCCCAGTTCCGCTAGGAATGAATTCAAACACCCCCATTTTTTTGTTTTCCGTCATATATATAATCTCCAAACCTATACATAACTAAAGCCTACACCATTTTTACAAGTTTGAAATGTAAAGTCATGGGGATGGGAAAATATTATATTGATCAAGTTTCCGGCCGCCCTCTCTCACTTTTTTCTAAAAGGGATTGGTTTTCGAAAGCCCTTTTCGCCATTAAAATGGCCATTAAATCCACAAGAAGCAGAGAGGTAGTTAGTTATATCAAGCTTGTGCTATCCCATGACTAGTTTAGTACTGCATTATTTATGTGATTATATATTATTATGCAGACAAAATGTATCTGCATACCTACCCTGTGGAACAACATTAATTTTTCCTCGTCTTCTTCTTCGTCGTTTGTAATTAGTATAGCATTAAGGTTAAACAGCTAATATAATGCTGAGTGTGGAGACAGTTAATTGTTGTTATATGAAGGTAAGGTAAGATGAATGAAACCTTAGCTTCAAGCTTGTTCAGATAATATAATAATGTTTCTGCAACTGTAATGTTTTCTGGTATTAATATGAAAACTCTGTTGCCCTGTTGAGCATCCTTAGCAGCAACATATCTATCTCAGAGTTAGTTTAATTTAAGAATGTTCAACAGATTGATCAATTGAACAAGCTAGATTAGTTGTGTACTAATAAGCTAGGAAGGAGTGACATTCTTGATTTCCGCTACAGTGAAAGTGGGAGACTGTTGACAGATAAAGAGGATTGAATACGAGAAGTGATATTAAGTCATTCAGGTTTAGAGTTATCAAGGTATTAAGTCATTTAGATTTGTTTTGTTTATTAGGTCGTCATACAAATCATTATGTCGTTGCAACATGTTGGTTGTTGTATTTTATTGGGCTGACCCAATAGGTCGGAAGATATTAAGTCATTCATACTTACTTTAATTTGATTATTCAAGGTCTACAAATCGTTTGGTCGTTAATTATAGCATACTAGCATGTTGGTTGTTAACTTCATTTTAACCTTAAAACTCAAATTATAACCTAATTTATGTAAGGATCCCAAAGTAGATATCACCTGCACAAAGTAAATTTGATTCATAATGTTAAATCCCAAGAGTTGTTGCATGGAGTAAAAAGCATTGACAAAGACCAGTCATATATTGTACTTGTGTATGCAGCAAAGCATCCTACAAGTAAATCCTATAGATATAACTCCTCCAATTCCTTTCATCTGTGGGGAGTGGATTTTGGGTAGAACTGTCGGCAGGCTTCTTTCGACTATAATTTCCACGAAATTAATCTATGTACGAAGTGGTGTTTTACAGTGGTTGCTTCTAACTGCCAACTGCCAACTGCCTAAGCAATATTATCTCACCCATATATAGCTACTACATTCATTCTCCATCTATAAATACTTTCTTTTATACACATATTCATATTCTTAGGTCATCTCAAATGCACGAAAGCTCTACAATCATCATCGCAGTTTCATTTTAATCCTAAAACCTAAATTGTAACTTAATCTCGAATCCCGTTAAGATTTACTTTAGAATCTCTAAAGTATATGTCACCCGTACAAAATAAATTTGGTTCATAATATTAAATCCCAAGAGTTGTTGCATGGAGTAAAAAGCATGGACAAAGACCAATCATTGTACTTGTGGGGTTGAAGTGTATGCAGCATCCTACAAGAAATCCCATAGATGATAGATATCCTCCAAATCCTTTCCTCTCTAGGGAGTAGATTTTGACTTGAACTGTCGGCAGGTTTCTTCCGAAAAATTAATCTCAGTACGAGGTGGTGTTTTACAGTTCTTGTCTGAGGTGGTTGCTGCTAACTGCCAACAACTATTTTTTACCACTAAAAACTACTGTAAAAATCGTTAAGGTTCACATGATCACATCTATCATGTCATCATTGATTCACATCCTCTTCCAAGATTTGGGCCTACTGGGCACACGATAAAATCAAAGATTTTGGCCCAAATATTTCAGCTTCATACTCAAGATTCAACAGCTCCATTTTCTTTATTCTTGGATTGTGTGTTCCATTCTGCCGGAGAGAGCAAACTCTACCATCGACCAGAGTCTATTTTGTATTGTGGACTCTATTCCAAAAATAATCTTCAGAGTCTGTACTTACAGGACATATTTTGTATACATAATAAACTAACTAAAGACACATCAAATTTGTAAAGAAGTTAAGTTCATCTAAAGAATTCAACTTCAAATTTGTGAAACAGTCTTCGAATTAAGTTTCCTGTAGTATTGCTAGGGAAGTTGTTTCTGTGTGACTGTAAGGAATGTTTGACCATTCCATCAATCTTTATTGTAACCGTTTCAGCCTATAATTAATGAATTACCTTCTTTATTTTCAAAAATAAAAAACAAAAAAAATAAAGACACATCACATATACATAAACTATTAATTGCGAGTACAAAATATGTTAATTGCATACACATAACATGTTAACCAACATCTTATGTGTCTGCGGCTAACATATTCTGTACCTGCAGTTAACCATTTATGTGTCTGTAATTAATAGTTATCATATATGTTATGTGTCTGTAATTAACATGTTATGTGTCTTCAATTTATTTACCTGTACAAAAATTGTTAACTGCAAGTATATAATGTGTTAACTGCAGACACAAATTTTAAATCAGAATTCACAATGCAATACAAATTTGGTTCATGGTATAACAATGGGTGGGAGAGTGGTTGGTACCAGCCCAAATTCAAAAGTAATAGTCCAACATCATCAGAAGCTATATAGTGCAACTCAACACAAAAATAAATTAAAGATGCATAGAAGAAATCAACGGAATTAATAAAGATTTAGGGATTAATTAATGAAAACCATTGATAACAGTTAGTGATTGCTTTCTTTAATTTGGTTTTTACAGCTGATAGATGATGATTAGTATCTGTTAGTGAATTGAATTCAAATAAGCTTTGAGAATTCATGGAAATCTATCTTTCCATCGCCATTTTCATCGAACGCTCTGATCATATCTCTGCACCTCTGCACCTCCGACCCTTCCTTCATTCCCAGAAGGCACAGAACTCTCTGCAACTCCCTCTCATCAATAAACCCATCTCCGTTCTCATCGAAAACGTCGAAAGCACCTTTAACCTCGTCATCCATGGCGACAACCTCCTCGTCCTCTCCGAACAGGCCCGACAGGTCTTCCGAGTCGAACCGCTCCTGAAGCTTTGCAGCTCCGGAGTGGCAAAAAATCCCCAGCCTGCCGAAAACCATCTCCACTTCTTCTCTGCTCACGCTGCCATCGTTGATAATCCTCCTCGCAGACGGCTCAAAATCTTGAATTTTGTTCTGGGTCTCCTGGTTCGATTCCATGGCCGCTAGTAAAAAGCTGAAAGCTTTTCTCCCCCAATCGAAGACTATGTAGAGCAGGATGAAGACGACCAGGCCATGGATTGGGAGAGGGACTGGAACTGCGGACAGAGAAGTTAAAGATAGCTTCTTGATGGGGCTGGAAGACATGGCGGATTAGTGAAGCTTTAATTTCGCTGTGGGTTGGAAGAGAAGATTGGCATGCAGAATTGCAGATTATTAGAGGGCTAATAGGACTGGGTTTTTTCTTGATTTGATGATCAAGGGGGATGGGGGGTTTTATATATGCAGGAGATCGAGGAAGATGGGGTTTGACTGGTTAATTATATTGGGTTGAAAGGTAAGATGATGAGGAAAGTGGTTGAAGGGTGGGAAGAAACTGATCTGAGGAAGAAGCATGGGAAGTTTCTGAATCTGCCTGCCTGTTTGTCTGTTAGTGTTTAGTATATTTTATGTTGTATTTTTCATGACTGTTTTTTAAGAAAAAAAAAAAAAAGAGGAAGGAGGAGTGAAGTTTCTTGGAATGTGGTATTGGGAGGTTGAAAGCTGCCCGGTTTAGACGAGTCTAATTGCTTGACCAAATTTGATTTGGTAAGACAAATATGAAATGGAAATTAAGAATATTACTCCTATGGTAGTATGGTCCAATCTCTTCATAAAGGACCAGATTTGGTATAACAAATATTCTCTTATGTTCAATGCTGTGGTTAGAAGACTTTTCTTAAAGTTTCAAATCAACCTCGGCCCCAAAGTCATTTCCGCATTCACAAAGTGTAATGTTATGGTTTGTAGGCTATTATATATGAGAGATATTTTGTTGGTGTACATGCACTTTTGAATAGTGGATACGAGTTTGTTCGTCATCTAAAAAAAGATTAATGATATTTTTTTTTTTATGATGAGGAAAATCTGCAGCCACTATCCTAGGGTATGCACGGGATAAATCTTGCCTTATAACTATAGTCAAGAAAAGAGCACAATGAACTAAACCATGAGAAAGAGTTTGGGCTCAATTTTACTACGTCTCCATGAGATGAACGGAGTCACCAACGAAGTTTTAAGGGTTTCAGGTTCGACTGATAGCCTAAAAAATGAGTTGGCACTTAGTCTTACCATGTCTCCTTGAAAAAGGAGTTGACAACGAAGTTATAAGGGTTTTAAGGTTCAACTAGTATGCTGAAAAAGGAGTTAGCACTCAGTCTTACTGTGCCTTCACGAAAAAAGAGTCGGTGCTCAATCTTAACGCACCTCATTGAAAAAGGAGCCAGTGCTCAATCTTACCACACCTCCACGAAAAAGGAGTTGGTGCTCAGTTTTACTACACCTCATCAAAAAAGGACTTAGCGCTCAGTCTTACCGCGCTTTCTTGAAAAACAGTCGGCAACAAAGTTATAAGGGTTTGAGGTTTGATTGGTAGCCTGAAAAAGGTGTAGGTGCTCAGTGTTACTGCACCTCCTTAAAAAGGAGTCGATAACAAAGTTATACGGGTTTAAGATTCGACTGGTATCTTGAAAAAGGAGTCGATGCTTAGTATTACCGCGCCTCCTTGAAAAAGGAATCAACAATGAAGTTATACGAGTTTAAGGTTCGGTTGGTAGCCTAAAAAGAGGATTCGACGCTCGGTCTTACGACACCTCATTGGAAAAGGGGTTGGCAACAAACATATATATAAGGATCTAAAGGGGGACCGAAGATGCGAAATGGCCTGAGTTCGAGTAGCCGCCAATGAGATCACTTTCATGTGCTGTCAGCCCGGTGATCCATTGGAAAGTGAGGGACAAGATGATGGATCGATAGTAGGCATACCCAATCGAGGAAATCATGCAGGGAGTCGGACTGGGGAATCAGCCAGCTAGCAAGTCAGGAGAACGTTGCGGGACTGCTAAGCGCGGAAAGATATTTGAAAGATAGTTGGAAGATTCATTTTCATATACTCTCAAATTCTCCCTTCGGAAAAACATTGTAGAGGATTTGATTATTATTGGCTGACAATAAAAACACTAATATTCTTTTTGTACGGTTGTGTTGACCCATCAAAAATCTACCTCATAGTCATAAAAGTAACATACCCTTTTATAGTTTTCTTATTGCCGATCTTGTAGGACTCGGCGTCATGCTATTTGGTTCTTTTATATTTTTTCTGTTTCCTTTTTACTGTATTAAAAAAATATTTATAGATTAAAAAAACGGTGGAATTGATAATCAAAGAATATGATAAAAATGTTATTATAATGGATGAAGGTTGCAGTGGAATTAATCCCGTTGGAAAATGTCTAACTTCATCCCCACTTTTTCCCGTAGGAAAAAAGAAAGAAAATGTTTAGTCCAAGTAAAGTGCCCAATTTCGGCATTCAAAAAAAAAAAAAAAAAAAAAAAAAGTGCCCAATTTCTACGACTTCTCTATTCAAATTTTGCAGGAAAGTGGGGAAAGTTCAATCCAAAATATACTCCGGCTCTGTTTCGCAGCTTATTTAGGAGCTTATAGCTTATTTTAAGCTACTAATAAGCTATAAGTTTTACTTGATAATGTTCCTAAAATAAGCTCATAGCTTAAAATAAGAGCGCTACTTAAGGTAGCGTTTTAAAATAAACTACTAGCTTCCTAACATTTTTTACCATCATTGTCCTTATTATTTTAAAAAAAATGACATCATTTACCCTTCCCAATTAAATTCATTTTCTCTTTTCCTTTATCAACTTTCACGACAATCATCATCATTATCATGGGATGAAGGAGATTTGCAACAATATTGCTACTTCATTATGGGATGCTAGATCATGATTATGCTAATAGTATTATTTCAAAATGTTTTTTTTTTTTGAAAAAAAAAATATTAAATTTTAATATGTAAACAAACTACTTTAAATTTTTTTGAAGATGTCAATTTCAATCTTTTTACATTTATTAGCTTATCAAAAAGCTAATGCAACAATATTTTCAATCTTTTTACATTTATTAGCTTATCAAAAAGCTAATGCAACAATATTGCTACTTCATTATGGGATGCTAGATCACGATTATGCTAATAGTATTATTTCAAAATGTTATTTTTTTTTTGAAAAAAAAAATATTAAATTTTAATATGTAAACAAACTACTTTAAATTTTTTGAAGATGTCAATTTCAATCTTTTTACATTTATCAGCTTATCAAAAAGCTAATTTTACCAAACACTTTCAATTATAACAGCTAGCTTAACAGCTCTTCAGTTTTCAACTCCTAGCTTATAGCTTTTCAGCTTTCAGATCCTTTTCAGCTCCGAGCTTATAGCTTTTCAGTTACGTTTGCCAAACAAAGCCTCCATTCAAAACTATTTTCACATTCATTAAAGTATCTTAATAACACGCTTGTCAACTATTCATGCTCCCACGGAACAACTCTAACTAAGTTAATTGCCTAGATAACAATAAAGTTTCAAATTTGACTCTCAATTTGAGTCGATAGTTATGAACAACTTAGATTGATTTACTACCTACACTGATTTATTATTGACATTCTTAGTTAAGCTAAATTTGTTATTGATATCAATAAGTTATGAACAATCTAAACTCGTCTTCTCTTACCTTAAGAGATTTGATCTCTAATGGTAAAAAAAATGTGTGGAAATACATGAAATAAGAAAGATTTATTGTTGGGCCTTGTGGGCTTGGTTCATTTGGGTACAACAACTGAAAGTTTTATTCTTTACAAGACATCAAAATGTAGGCAAGTAATTCTTGACCTTACAGATCTGGAACATGTTCACCATCTCATCCTTCACACTTAACATAAACATGTCTGTCTATTCAGTTGCAGACTGCAAATTACAGACCAGAAACAAAACAGTAACTCTTTATCAGACAACAAGGTACGACTATACGAGTCTTGGGAATGGTTTAGTATTGCAGTGATGGCGGTGATGCCAAAGGAGGAGACGAAGGAGGAGGAGGAGGAGAAAGAAGAGCAGGTTGGGAGTGGACGTTCGGCCCAGTTTGCTCATAATCTCTCTGATAAACTACTACCCATTTCTCCTGCATTCCCATTCAAAAGATTAAAGCTTTTCCTGTAATGTAGAATTCACAAGAAGCAGATATATGGCAAAAGAAAAACCTGAAATGAAACAGCAGCAGAGTTTGCATGGTGCAATGGCCCCATCAGCTTCCTTCCAAATCCTAACGCAAATGGTAAACAGAGGTATAATATACTAAGATCTGTTCCTTAATAAGCAAACTGCAATTACTGTCAAAATCGAAAAATGGAAGAAGACGAAGAAGAGAATTACCAGGAGAGAAAGAGATCATAAGAAAAGCTGCCACGAAAAGAACCCAAAGCATAAAGGGTCTCCCCATGAATGATTTTCTTGGAATTCTTGGAAGTGGGCGAGAGGTTACTTTACTTGGCTTTTGTAAACTTCTGGGAAGTACAGACCACAGAGTTGTGGTTTCTGGTGTGCTTTCCCAAGAACTAATGCATGTCTATAACAAATCAGATCAGGGTTCTTTCTTCCAATAATTTACACATTAAAAAAATCCGGGATTAAATTTGGCCGGTTGATGGGGATTTCTTTAATCAAACTGAGATTACACTGTAAGTCTGTAACCTTTCTATCTGCCCCATCAGAATATTAGGAAAGACAGAGGTGGAAGTGCTTATTAAACAGCTAAAATATCTAACAACAGGCTGGACAGCTTACAGACACACTCAAATATCATATTTTTTTAGCAAGAAAAGCAACAACTATTTATGAAACTGTTGACTTTTAGTTTCCAATCCCAATGTTACATACAATATTGCCTCTTCGTGTGTATGTTTAGTTATATTACTCCTACGGGTTTATAAAATAAGTTTTCTGATCCATACTCAAAGCTCAAAGTAGGTTCCATGTTACGCCAGAAGAAGCTAATAAAGCAGGCATTAATTTCATACTAAGGCAAAACTTTTCTGATGTGTTGAGTAACAAAATCACAATGTTTAGCTTGATATCAAACATGTCTCTATGAAAGGTGCATCTTAAGCTACTATACATTGCCGGTGATACCTGTTTTTAGTTCAAATTTGTTCGATCAATGTTTCTTGTATCTAAAAAATAATGTTTTTTCCTAGATAAATAGAAGTCAAATTGAACCATTTTACCGTGATAAAACCTTCATTGTGGCTCCTGCAACCTCGGGCATCCTCCAGTTGCTGCCAACAAGCCAATCCTCTGCTCATCTGGGAGTATATATGGCAAATGAATATGTTGCAAGAGACCATGCAGTGAAACCTTTTTGATTATATCCCCTAAATAATTTAGCCAGATGTAGTCTTGGAATAAACATGTTTTTACTATGAGCCATAGCTCTCGGGATCTCAAATACGAATATATACATGTGCTAGAAGAGCAAGAACCTAGCAAACCGCCTACCTATGGAACAGAACCTCTCCTTTCTCAGAACAAAAAGTTGGAAATCCGCATCTAGTTGTCTGATCATTGAGAAAACTTTATATGATCGTAAAGTCATAACCCAAGATTGCTCGCTGATTAGAATTCTCTTGCAAGAATGATCAGCCACGAGGAATTGCCACTGCAATTAGCATATTGCTAAGTCGAGGTTCCCTGCTTATGAGCTCTCATGGAAGTTCAATGACCTGGATAATGCAGCTGGATTGGCTTCTAATAATACTCTACAGTTCTTTGAAGCATGACTGTTCTCGTCATCCTTCATCTTGAAGGCCTTAAAAGCGCCACCCCTAATCGAATCAACTCTATCGTGTTGTATTCCCAGCGTTGCCCATATGGAACTCTTTGCAGCATCTTCTGGATCATCAAACCGCAAAGTTTTAGGAACCCACAGACACTTCTCTGGATTACTATCTTTGGGTGGCTGTGGCTCCCCTTCCTTGTTGTTGTCATCCCTTGAGTGCTTCCCTAAGGTTGGAGAATTAGGGCCAGAAGACGTGTGGTGTTGGGGCGCAACAGGTCTGCTCACCCAAGGGGCATTCCAAGAGCATGGAATGGTATAACCCAAATACATTGCCGGGGGGTAAAATGGCATGGGAAAGCCAGGAGAAAAGCAACCGGGTGGAGGAACTGCAGAGCTCCACTGAACAGCACTGGATGGATATGGCCAAGGAGGAGCTTGAAAGCACGGTAACTGAGGAGCGAAGCCATGGTAGTTCTGTTTCAGCATGTCTGGCAACCCATTTTTGCAAACATCATCCTTTGTACTTGCAGCAGTGACTGATGAGGAACCACTTGAATGGTCAGCTCCATTATCCCCAGCTCCATATGAAACCTGGATTCCTAACTCTACTGGCTTGTAAAACCCATTTAGCGAGCCATTCCCTGCAGTTTTCTCTGCAATGTTCAATTCTGAGGCCACGGAATCAGAGGCCAACGTAAGAACCTTGCCATTGGCCTTAAGAGCATGGTGTTGGATTCTCTCGGGATGATCTACACAAGCATTCTGAAACGACTTCACAGCATTCAAATGATAATGAGCAGCCGAGTTCTTGGTTTTTCTTCGGCCAGCACCAACAGGCAAGTTCCTCGTCATCCCACCCGACGTCCAATATCTCTGGCATTTCTTGCAGAAATGGCGAGGCTGGTTCGTGTTGTAGTTGTTGAAATAACAGAACTTGGTGTCCATACTGTCACATCTAGGACATGGAAGTATCTTGTCTGGTTTTTTCAGAGTCTTATCTTTCCCATTACTCATTTTCCCCTCTTCTTCATCAGTTGTTGAAATTTCAGTTGATCCACAATCTTCATCAACATGTGGTGCTTTTAAGCCATCCCTAATTTCATCTACAGTCTGATCCATTATCCCTTCCCCTTCCATTAACACTGTTCCTTCATCCTCTTTACTTTCATCCATCCTCTCTCCATTTTCATTCTGTTTTCATAACAAAATTTAGCACGAATCAGATCTAGGGCATGAACCAATCTTCACTATCAGTATCAAGACAACAGGATAACAATTATAATTATAATCAATCTAAATATGCTGTTTCTTCAATTTCAAAACCTAGACAGGATAGCCCCAGATTAAGATGAACAGTGCAGAAATCAGAAAAAGCAAGACCAACCCAGAGTTATGAATTTAGTTTCATGTAAATGGTGAATCAAAAGATGAAACCTTTTGCTGTTGTTCATCCTCTCCGGGCTCAGCTTCTGAACAAGAACTATCTTTAGCCAAGGAATTGGCTTCTGAAGCTGCTCCGCCGGGGTCGACATCCATCTCCGTCGGCGGCGGCGGCGGCGGAGCATCCGGGAACTGGATAGTCATCCCGAACAGCTTTATCGTCGGGTCCTTGGTCGGTTCCGGCATTACAGTTGCTGAAAACTGAGAAATCAGAATCACAGCAAAAGGGCGAAAAAGCAAAGAGTATAATAATCCGATGATTTGGGTTTTGTGTCAAGGAGATCTGAGGGAATTATATGGAGTTAAAGAAGAAGAAACAGGTGGGCAGGGAAAGAAAGACACGTCAGAGAGGAAAAGGGATTGTGAGCCACAAATTTCTATGTGGCCTTGAGATCTTCTCATAACCCTCTTGCTATTTCTTGATTCTCTATAAAGTTATCGTCTTTTTGTGATGAGTCAGCACCGCCTTTATTACCTTTTTTTCCTCGAATCCCTTGGCGTCTACTTACTGTACTACATTTATACACCATCACCGACCTCTACATAAAGCCGCCAAACTTTATCTTTTCTCTTTCTTTCTTTCAATCGCTCGCTGCCATTCATTTTTCTTCTCTCTCTCTCCTGAGGTTGTGGACGCAAATGCAGCGAGCCACCAAACCTTGGACAACACGAATGGAAGCGTGTACAGCCCGCAAAAAACCCACCCGCGCGATTGACTGCTCACCTCTTTTGTCCCACGTTACAACAACGTTAACACCCATGATGCCATCGAATTCGAATGGAGCGAGCGAACGGCTGTGCTTCAATTCGCCTGTTTAGACCCCCCGCCCTGGCCCCTGGGTGTTCTTTAGCGCTAAAAAGGGCTTTACCTTTTAACTTTTAATAATGGAGGATGATTGATTGTTGGGTTTAGGCATGAGCGTAGCAATCATTTTTCTTCTTTAACAATATACACCCAAAACCAAAAAAAAAAAAACTGGATTTTGTTATATTAAAAGTGGAATAAGGGTTAAACAGGCTATCTAACTGCACACGATAATGCAATTAGGTCATTAAATGGAAAAAACTAAACAATTAGGTCCCTAAACTAACAAATTTCAAACAATTCTTCCAGGTTTCCAACAGGTCATTCCCTCTCATATTAATTATTTTTTAAAAAATAAATTTTAAAAAATAATTATTTATAATTTTTTTTTTATAAAAAAAAACTCCGGCCGGAGACAACCGTCTCGTCCAGTTTCTTCGTCTCCATGGCCGGACACGAAGAAACTCTTCCACTTGGAGACGAAGGGTTTCTTCGTCTCCAGCCATGGAGACAAAGAAGGTGGGCCATGGAGACGATGAAACCTTCTTCGTCTCCAGGAGACGAAGAAACCCTTCGTCTCCACTAATGGAGACGAAGAGTTTCTTCGTCTCCGGCCATGGAGATGAAGAGTTTCTTCGTCTCCGGCAGTGTATACGAAGAGTGTAGACGAAGAAATCGGCCGGTCCTATTTTTTTTCTTTTTTTATTTAAATTTAAATAATTAATTTTAAATGCTACTAGTTCTTTAACTAGGACTATGTGGTCTAATGGTACACGAGTTGGACTTCCATTTGAAAGGTTGTAAGTTTGAGCCTCAGTGGAGGTGTTATTAGCTCTTTGTGTTTCAGTAGGTTGAGAATGTATATGAACAGATATTACAATGTAATAGAGCTAGTAGCATTCAAAAAAAAAAAATAGTTAATTTTAAAAAATAATTTATTTTGAAGGAAGACCTGTTGAAAACCTTCAAATTGAAAGTATTGTTTGAAATTAGTTAGTTTAGGGACCCAATTGTTGGCTTTTTAGATTCAGTGGCCTAATTGAATTATTGGGTGCAGTTGAATAGCCTATTTGACCCTTATTCCTATAAAAGTTGTTTGGGATTTCTATAGTACTGACTTGCACCAGGGCCGGATTTTAGGCTGTGCAAGCTGGGCTACCGCACAGGGCCCCCAATTTTAGAGGGGCCCCAAATTTTAGAGGTTCAATATTTAATTTTTACCTAGCTAGTTTAAAAATAAAAATTAAAAAGTTTTCAATTAAACTTTAAAGGTTTCATGAAGAGATGGTAAGAATGTGTATTTATTGTATTTTAACTTGGAGGTCAAAGGTTCGAAACTTGCATGTATTAGTTTTAAAAATTATGATTTTGGTAGGGCCACATTTATTTACTAGAACAGGGCCACCAAAACTTAAAATACGGCCCTGACTTGCACATGTGTTTCGTGCCCTAGTGTAATATATGATAGTATTTTGCACTAAGTACAATCCACACTTATTTAGTATTTTAAGTTGTGTATGTAATTTTTTTCCGTAGATGACAACCTGTTACTGTATTTTTTAAGGCTAAGGTTAATGAGGCATTGGTAGTTAAAGTGTTTAGAAGTTTATGAGGGCTTGTCAGGGCAATTAGTTAATTTTGACAAATCTAGTACGAGTATCTGTTTTTGCAGGAATACAAGAGAGGAGGATAAGGAGGAAGTGGTGCGTATTTTGGCCTTTTGGGAGTGGCGTAGGCGGAGGATTATGGAAAAATATTTGGGTAATCATATAGGTGCCTAGAACAATAGATTACTGTCTCTGATGAGGTTTTACTGAAAAGTGTTGCTGAGGCTATGCCCATGTTTGCTATTTTGTGAAGGGTGAAGGGTTGGAGAGAAAAATGAACAGATTCTAGTGGGATGGTAGGGGTGCAACTAGAAGATTGGCAAAGTAGGGCTGGAGACTTTTGACTAACCCAAATTCACTAGTATCTTGTATTTTTTTAGGCTAGCTATGGCTCTTATTTGGATGCACAATCCCAATTTCTGTTGGAGAAGCATTTTTTAGGCTAAGTCTGTGGTTAATGTATAATAAAAAATAAAATTTATTCTTTCAATAAAGTACTACGGAGTATATAATTTTAAATAAATTTCATTAAATTCGTACATCATTATCTATCTAATAATATTATAGATATTAATTAAAATTAATATAGTACCTAAACTTGCTTTACAGATTAACTAAAAAAAAGTGGTTTTATCGACCGTCAATTTCCATAGCCACTTCGGAGTCTTCACTGCCAGGATTTTCTTGATTAGTATCTTCTCCTTGCATTTCAAAATCGGAATCGGAATCGGAATCGGAGTCGGAATTTCTCCGGCCACCGTTCCTGAAGAAGACGTGAAACACCATAGCCGCCCTTTCTCGCCGCTCTGTGCCACCGTCACGGCGAGCTTCGTTCTCCACTTCACCTAATTCATCCGCGGGATTATCACTTTCTTTCCTAACTTCCTCTCCTTCTTCCGCGGGCATCTTGTACCGGCAAAGCGGGCAAGATCCGTGGATCTGCAACCACTTATCAATGCAATCTGGATGATACCGGTGATTACACGGCATCGCCTTCGCCTCGCCGCCCAATTCAAACTCCGCCAGGCAGATAGCGCAATCGATCCCGTCTTCGCCGACTTTCACGACCGGCATCGCCTCTATCGACGCCTTCGACGCCGGCAAATGCCCCTCCTTCCCGTCCGCCGCGCCCTCAATAAAGGTGATCGAGCCCGTCCTCGCGTTCACGATCACCGTCACGTCGCGCTGGCGCGGAGACGGAGGAGACGCGGCGGCGAAGTTGAGGATGATCGGGAGGATCATCGATCTGGCGCCTGCTCTGGTCATCTCCTCTAACGACGGCGCCGATGCTTCCGGAGGCACGTCGGAATCTGATGAAGCCATCCAGGAATCGATCGTCGGAAAGCTAAATCTTTGCCGATGAGCTTTGGGAAGAGAAGACAGGAAATGGAGAGATGATGATGGAAGAATGTATAACAGATTATAGTATTGTGTTTAGCATGATATTTTGAGTTTAGACTGGTCAAACATCGTAAACACACCGTAATCCTTACGTTGATGACAACAAGAGTTTTTATTATTGATCAGTGTTTACAAAATATAAAAAGGGATATATTTGTAGGCATACAAAAGATAATTTAGCTGATGTGGTAAACATAGATTTATAACAATATATGAGAAGGAGGAACCAGATTGGTAAAAGTGGAGTTATAATAATATACGGAGATTGAATGAGAGATTGAGAACGATAAAATTAATAACATATAGAGTTCTAATCCGTCCCTTCTTTAAAAAGAACACTAAATTTGTCTTTGAGATGATCGAATCTAGCAATGATGAGTGCTTTGGTGGAGATGTTTATAAGTCGGTCAGTTATAGTGATGTAGTTCACTTGTAGTTTATTTGATATTACTTTGTCATGAACAAAGTAGTAGTCTACTTTTACATATGTAGTTCAGGTATGAAAAACAAGATTTGCACATATACATAGCACTAAGATTGTCACACCAAAGTCAAGGTGATTTTTCTACTGTGAGTCCAAGCTCACGAATGAGAGCAACTAACCATGTTACTTCTACTAAGACATATGTTATGATTTTGTATTCTACTTATGTTGAGGATCTAGCCATTATCTATTGCTTGCGACAAGCGCAAGAGATTAAATTTTTACCAATGAAGACAACAAAACAAATATTGGATTTTTGGTCATCAGGGCAACCGCCAAATTATAGTCCAAGAAAGTAGGGATGGCAATGTGCCCCGTCCCCGTTGGGGAACCTCGCCCCCGTTGAGGACGGGAACGGGGACGGGGAAAAAATTTGGGGATCGGGGACGGGGACGGGGAGTTTGTGAAATTCCCCGGCGGGGACGGGGACGGGGACGGGGATACCCCTCCCCGCCCCGCCCCGTCCCCGAATAATATATATATATATATATATATATATATATATATATATATATATATATATATATATATATATATATATATATATATATAGTTTTAGGAATTAGAAATTAGATATAGATTATTAGAATTTCTTTTTGTCTGTGGCTAATATAGTGTACTTTGATTTAAACATAATTAGTTAATTACATAAAACAATGTTGTATACTGTGTATATTGAATATTACATAGAATATAATGTATGTAATTAAACATAATTGTATAAAGCATTGTGTACTGTGTATAGAATATATGTATTTAAATTCTGAACATAATTACAAAAGCATTGCTATACTAATACTGTGTATATATTCAAATATATTATATATTATTGAATATTGAATTTTTCTTTTATAGATTTCAATTTTTTTTTTTAAATTGTACTATGGGTTGATCGGGGATGGGGATTCCCCGTCCCCGCCAAATTCCCCGTGGGGACGGGGATGGAAAATTTTTTCAAATTCCCGCCGGGGATGGGGACGAGGACGGGGACGGGGTTGGGGTGGCGGGGACGGGGACGGGGAGTATACTCCCCGCCCCCGCCCCGCCCCGTTGCCATCCCTACGAGAAAGCATGGATATCATCAGAGTCAAATTTTGTAAAACGCAATCCATAGTCTAAAGTTGCTTTGACATACCTTTGGACTCGTTTGAGTGCCACCCAATGATCAATGTTTGGAGATTTCATGAACTAGCAAAGTTTGTTGACTGCAAAGGAAAGATCCAAACGAGTGATGGTTGGGTACTAAAGCTCTCCAACGAGATTACGGTACTGTGTAGGATTTTTATATGATTAACTTGTGGTTGTTGCACTAACTTAATATTAACTGAAATTCGTGTTGAGATTCGTCGACCCTACGGGATACGTGCGTTGTGGGGGCGCAACAACAGTACTCCAGCGTGCGTGCGTTACGAGGGCGCAACAACAGTACGGGCGCACCGGAGCAGGCAGACGGCTGAGATGTAACTCACCAACAAATTCCGGACTGAAAGACTGCAGAAGCACAACACCCCACAGCCTCGAACCAACATCATCACAATGAACCTGCACAGCAGCAGACTCTGCAAAAGGAAACACAATCTTATCAAACCGCACATGATGGCAAATAAAGATCCATATAACGATACCCACGAAATTGACTCAAGATATAACCCAGAAAAACACACGGACCATATCAAAAGTCCATTTTATGCTTATTATAAGGCTTTACTGTGGGCACTAGAATTAGGCTAGATGACCACTTAACTAATTGTGTCGATGTGAAGAAAATGCCAAATGGAGATGGAAATGAGGACACAATGAATATTTTAGGAGTGATCTAATGATCTAAAGTGATTTTTCCTCTATAAAATTCTTAATACATAAAATGCACAAACTTAGCACATACTTATTGTTTAAATTGTTTTTTTTTTTTAATTATTTAGTAAAAGTAGAGTTACAATAATATATAGAGATGGAATAAGAATCCCAAAGCTGATAAACTATCGTTCTAATAAATTTAACAGGCACAACTATCATGTCACATGTCAGCACATACGTATGTAAATCAAAATCAAAGCCAATTTGGCCATAACAGACTAAGTGGATAAAATATAATTATTGTATAAAAAATTACGAATTTAATTCTTGTCAACACTTTTTCAGTTGAGTCCGTCATACTAAGTATTCTCAGTACAAATTTTTTAATCACACTTTCGTATGCTTTTCACCTCATTTTTAAGAGGTTAAAAAGTATTGATAAAATTATTTTCTTAGGCTTTGTTGACATTTTGCAATGTAAATTCTTCTTACCCCCTCCTAATGTTTTCTGTCTTGAACTCCATTCATGATAAGACTTATAATTATTGAGTGCCAGAATTGATTGTCCCCACTTATTTTTAATAAAAAAAGTAAAGTAATCAATCAAACAACGTAATTATTGAGTGCCAGAATTGATTGTCTCCACTTATTTTTAATAAAAAAAGTAAAGTAACCAATCAAACAACAAAAATTATGAAGATAAAATTTTTATGGATCAATAGCATTACTCTTAATGGGATTACCGAAATTGTGACTTGGTTTGGACTTTGGATGATAAAATTATGTAAGTTGACCAATTATTATTCCATGAACCACGGTCCGCATAACCATGTGAAAGATAAATAAAATATATATATATTAATATAATAAATATACATTATTTATATACTGAATATACATTATTTTAGTGCTAAACATATATTATTTTATATACTATCAAATAATTTATATTCAATAAATAAATAATATACGGAGTACCTCATTTTATTTATTATCCACATAAAAATTTGTTGCAGGCTGACCAATTGGGCTTAATACTTCATAGGCTTCAATTTGGATCTATTATCTATGCAAGTTGTAAGGGATAGTTATGCTATGCATCCGTATGCACCATGCATGGTGCATACAGATGTCAAAACGACGTCGTTTTATTAAAAAATGTGTGTCTTCCCTTTAAAAAAAATTCAGGTTCGATTCCCAGCAACAACATTATATTGTTCATTCATTCTGAAATTTTAGTTCATAGATTATGGAATTATAGTTCATTGATTATGGAATTATAGTTCATCGATTATGGAATTGTAGTTCATCGATTCTGAAATTTTAGTTTATAGATTATGGAATTTTAGTTCATTCATTCTGGAATTTTTAGTTCATAGATTAGATTATGGAATTATAGTTCATCGATTATGGAATTTTAGTTTATATGTTGTTGCTGGGAATCGAACTTGATTTTTTTTTAAGGGGAGACGCGCGTTTTATTAAAAGGACGTCGTTTTTGCATCCGTATGCACCATGCATGGTGCATACGGATGCACAACATAATTTGCCAGTTGTAAGATCCTAATCCTAAAAGTAAAATTAGGCAAATTATGATGTGCATCCGTATGCACCATGCATGGTGCATACGGATGCAAAAACGACGTCGTTTTATTAAAAACGCGCGTCTCCCCTTAAAAAAAAATTCAGGTTCGATTCCCAGCAACAACAAATGAACTAAAATTCCATAATCGATGAACTATAATTCCACAATCTATGAACTAAAATTTCATAATCTAATCTATGAACTAAAAATTCCAGAATGAATGAACTAAAATTCCAGAATCTATGAACTAAAATTTCAGAATGGATGAACTACAATTCCATAATCGATGAACTATAATTCCAAAATCAATGAACTAAAATTCCATAATCTATGAACTAAAATTCCATAATGAATTATCAACATAATGCCGTTGCTGGGAATCAAACCTGATTTTTTTTTTAAAGGGGAGACGCGCATTTTTAATAAAACGACGTCGTTTTTGCATCCGTATGCACCACGCATGGTGCATACGGATGCACAGCATAACTACTCGTAAAATTATGCACTTAAAAATATTATTTGGGTCGAAATTATTTGAAAAATGACATTTTTCATCTTTGAGTTATGCATAAAGTGTAGATTAAATTTCAAACATATATTTATGTTAAATACTTCCAAAAGGCTGAACCCCAACCCTACGCAAATTATGCTGTGCAACCGAATGCACCTTGCAAGGTGCATACGGTTGCAAAACAGCGCCGTTTTAGTTAAAAAAACGCGCGTCCTACTTAAAGAAGAAATCAGGTTCGATTCCCGGCAATAGCATTTTTATATATCCAGAAATTCATAACTATATAACCACAATTTCATAACTATATATCCACAGTGAATGAATGAAGTAAAAATCCACAATGAATGAATGAATGAAGTAAAAATCCACAATGAATGAATGAATGAAGTAAAATCCACTATGAATGAACTAAATATCCACAATATATGATTGAACTAAATATCCACAATGAATGAACTAAATATCCATAAATTCATAACTATATAACCACAATTTCATAACTATATATCCACAATAATGCTATTGCTGAGAGTCGAACCTGATTTTTTTTTAAGTGGGACGCGCGTTTTTAATCAAAACGACGTCGTTTTGAACCGTATGCACCATGCGCATGGTACATTCGGTTGCACAACATAACTATTGCCAACCCTAAGGGCCCCCCACACCCCGGCCCGTCAGAACATTTGGGAGGAAATCATGGTGTAGTTTATCTAATTATCTATGTAAATAATACGTTAAGTCTATGGTTAATATGTTCCGACCATATATTAACACTAATCCCATAGTGTAGTTTATCTAATTATCTATGCGATTCATCGATTATTAATACACAATAACAAATTTAAATATTATATATTTCGAAATAATAATGTTAAGTTTCCTTTGTAATAAAAAAAATTATCTATATATAATTAATGAAATATCACTAACCGTCCACTGGTGACAAGTTGGAGTTAATTTATTAGCAATGTAAATTAAATGGAATTTCACCGGCCGTCCACTGGTGACAAGTTGGAGTTAAATTAGCAATGTATATATAATATTCATAGTAAAATTTTGCATTTAATATTGTACTATTATGCTATATGACATGTTTTATAATAAATGCACCGAGTACATAACAAAAAACCATACATTATATTATCATACCTTCTTATATTAGCATATATATCATTAGTTCATTACTATCCACCGGCAACAAGCTAACTGCCAATCACGATAAATTCGTCAATTCACTGGTGCACAGGTGTTCAAAAATATCAGAGCTCATTTTGGTAATCCCTTGTTCTCAAAAAGTTGAATCTTCGATCCAATCCTAGGCTCGACAGATTATATGAGAGGATGTAAATCATGATAACTCAGCTGAACACAACAGAACATCTGGGAGGATGTAAATCATGGTAACTCGAAGTCCGGTCACTTTGGGAGGTTGCTCTCAGAGTGCCGCTGGTGAGACTCGATACCGAATTATTGTTCCCAAACTTCACTCATGTAACCAATTGAGATGTCTATACAGGCGTCCATAGAAAAAACATACTTCTACATGTTATGTAATTCAAATTCTTTAAAAAAGTTGAGTTATATTTATATTAGCGTAAAAATAAATATTTTTCTAATATCAAACAAATGCTACTTCAAAGTAATCCCAAACATTTCAATTTTTTCCAATTCAATTAGTACACTTTGAAAATTAATTTCACAATTACCTAGTATTCATTTTCAACATATAATATATCAAATTCATCATTTTTGACTAGGTAAATCCAAATCGACTTTGACTTAACCTGACCTGAAATTCAAGTGGAACTCACTCATATTAATATTTCAAAACGACCACTGAAAATGTCAATTTATACATGATACAGAATATTACTCGGAGTATGCGAAGTGTATCCCGTGTGTATGTCTCGAGAGTGCAGTGTATATAAAGTGTATCAACAATAGAGTAGTAGAGAGAAGATTGAGCAAAATGGACTTCTTTTATTAAATGTTTAGAGAGAGAGTAGAGACTAGGAAGGAAGAGGAACCCCTAAAATGAAGGGCTAATGCCCTTTATATAGGCACAAGTACATATGAGTTTGACTTTAATCTGTTGATTTTGACCATGACCCCGACTCGACTACAAAACGAGAGCACGGACGTACATGGAGGTCAAAACTGAGATATATTCCCTATCAATAATACTAATTTTTTTTTTTACTATGAACATCCTTGGTGACAAGGATATGATGCTTAAAGTGAATATTTTAACAAGACCAAATATTATAATCATTAATCAGATCGAATGCAACATTACTATAACTATTAAAATACTATTGGAATGAATAATTAAGGCACTTAGCAGTCCCTCATGAGTCATGTTTCACTAAACTGTAATGAGTAACAATGAACTAATTAATCAAATAGTACAGACGTACAGTTTATGTCTTCTCCTAGCTAATAAAATTGAAACACACACATGCATGACATAAAATAACTTTTAAGCGTTGCATTTTGTTTGAAATATATATATATATATATATATATATATATATATATATATATATATATATATAATACGGACCAAATGCAGATATATAATGTGCTTAGGTGCAAACGTGGGGTGAGATGAGAGTCATTGATCTTGTTAAGATCAACGTCTAGAATTAACAAGGATTAAAAAACGCGTACGGTGATTAAAAAAAATGCGGTGGCAATTTGGTCTTTTTGCGTTTATGTCAAACTTAAGGTGCGTGATTTTCCTTCTTAAGGTGCATGGTTTATGTGTTGTGTGCTTAAGGTGCGTCAGTTGTTAAAACTTAAGGTGCGTCAGTCTAAAGCTATAGGTTCGTGGTTTTCCTTTTTAAGGTGCGTAATTTTCCTTCTTAAGATGAGTGGTATTTGTGCTTAAGGTGCGTTAGTTGTTGAAACTTAAGGTGCGTTGGCCTAAAGTTTTAGGTGTGTGGCTTTCCTTCTTAAGGTGTGCCATTTTTTTTTTTTTTTTTTTTTTTTGCTGTCTTAAAATACAACCACTATCCTTTTGCAATCATGTTTCAGCAATCAGTTAATGGAAGTAAAAATGTATGTTTTAATTTATTGCTTATGAGTGGCCAGCTCTGGTGGTGTTAGATATATTAAATATAATATATTTAATATAATATATATTAAATATAATATATCTATAATATATATATAATATATATTTGAGAAGAGAGAGAGAGGGAGAATTGAATTCACTTGATTGATATTTGAAAAAGATTGATACACAGCCTTTTTATAGTAAAGGAGAAATAATAATAAAGCTAAAAATTAGGAATGTATGCTCCATGTACTCCACATACACTAAGCCACATACTGCATACACACCACCCACTACTTAATTTAATTAACAAACTAATTAACTCTTGGTTTAACAATTATAATAATAATATTATTATAACAGGTGGTGATGTCTTCTTAAAATCAATTTTGTAAAGATTTACCTTACCATCAATTAGTTCGTAAACATACACCACAACTCGTAGGCTTTTGATATCCATGAGAACAAAACTGAGGTTAACATCATAAGTAACACTGTTGTGAGCGCCAGTTACAAATTCTGAGTTTATAACAACGCTATTTTTTTCATTGATTTGAGCCGTTGATCTAGATTAGATCAACGACTTAAATCTAACCACATCTTTCACACCAAAAATTTGGACAAAATCATACCTGCAAGATAACATCAATAAAGATTATTGTGCCTAATCAAACCTTTGTGCCTAATTAAACCTTTCAGAAAACTTTTAAAAATAACTCATTATTATCATTGAAAAAAAAAAAAAACTCGTCATTATCATTTAATCAATGACATAATTATATTCTTTATGAATATGTGTGATTTAACAAGTCCAATCCAACCCCATAACCTCTGGAATAGTTTTAAGTGATAATAACAAGGGTCTCTCCTGCCAAGCATATTGTACTCAGATGGCATGTAGTGACTTTTCTCATGTGGAAGATCATGAGATCGAGTTTAAGTGGAGACGTTGTTGACTTGATAAGGTCATGAGATTGAGTTTAAGTGGAGGCGTTGTTGACTCACTGTTGGAAGGCCGTGACTCTGTGTGCAACATAATAGCCATTAGCATGTTATATATATATATATATATATATATATATATATATATATATATATAAACAACATAATATAAGTATGAAAAAATCTAAAATGTGAATCCGTATAATACTATGAAAAATACTTTGTTTTCCAAAATATCTGATACAACACGACACAATATTTATCAACACCTTAGAACTTCCCATTAAATATATAATATATAAAATATACTATGTATTATAAGAATATTAATACTATATAAACACCCACTTTTTACTGCCTACTAATGTATAGCATGCATCCTCCGATTGACTTAGGAAAAGAAATCTAGCCCGCAGAAGGTAAGCTCACAAGTTTAATAAGCAGTATAAGTGAGTAAATTCCTTATGCATATTAACATTTGGCCTTGTCTGTTGAATCATTAACTTATTTTAATTTACATTTTCAAAAATACTCTGTCGAGCTAAGGTGTGGAAGGCATTGGAGTTGGGAATTCAACTATTGTTTTAGGGCAAGGAAAAGTAAATATCTAACACAATTTTTATTATATTTATTTTATTTTATTCTTCTCATAAAATTTAAACATTTGATAAGAGTTTTATATATTCTTCATTTATCCATTTGCCTAATAAAAGAATAGTTTAGCGTCAATTATAAGTCTTCACTATTCCCTCATTGATGTCCGACCTGGATCAGGACGTGAAAGACTATAGAGTCCACATGTGTATATAATACAAACCACTTGTTCGATACCCGGCCAGAACATACACTATATTTATGTATGATTAGTTAGTTATAATTTAGTTCATGTGGCCTGGGAAAACAAATTAAAGCAGCTTCAATTCAGTTGCTACCTTAGTCCCCAACTACCTGTTTTTCGCTAGTTTTTTTCAGTATCGTTAGATTATATTTTGATCTAATAGTTAAGTCATAGAGGCAGGCTGGGAATAATGGAGAATGAAGACGGAAAGGGTAACAACGTTAACGGGCTTGTCTCCGTTGAAAACCCGAAATCACAGAGCCGCCTTGGGCGGTTGTTTCAACGGCAATGCTACCCGCCGCACTTTCTCAACAAGGTTAGTTTGATCCATGCATGATCGTCTTGCATGCGACGGTGAAATCCTGTCGGAAAATCCTTAAAAGTTCTGTTGATGTTGGAGCTAGAATGAATGTTCTTTTCTCGATGTAATTGAGGTTTTTTTTTTGCAGGTGGTTGCGGAGGTCATAGCGACGTATTTGTTGGTGTTTGTGACGGCGGGATCGGCGGCCATTAGCGCCAGCGACGCGCACAGAGTGTCGCAGCTAGGAGCGTCCGTGGCCGGTGGCCTCATCGTGACGGTGATGATATATGCCGTCGGACACATCTCCGGCGCGCACATGAACCCCGCCGTCACCTTTGCCTTCGCCGCCTTCCGACATTTTCCATGGCGACAGGTCACTCTTTCCTCATCATCACCGCCTACTTCGTTCTATAATTCTTCTCTCCCTCAATTAAATTCCTCTCATTTTTTATATTTAATTTGTCATATATTCTCGTTGAATTCAAAGAAGTATTACTATGTGTTTTGTAATTAAGTAAAACATTAAAAGCCTTTTGAACTTGTGGTCTAGTGACACGTAGTGACTCTTCCAAATGAGAAGTGATGAGTTTGATCTCTAGTGAAGGCGGTATTAACTTTTTTATGTTTTAGTAAGTTGGGAAAGTAGTTATGAGATAAACGACTAACAGTCACTACCGAAAATACTCCATTCTTATGCAATAGCTCACAAATTAATATGCAAGAGAGAGTATTGAATAAAGCGCAAATTATGCCAAGAGAGAATATTGAATAAAGTTATGAATTTGTTTAAAATGATTGTTGGATAAAGAAACTTTAGAAGCAATAGTAAAAAGATGAAAAAAAAAAATATATGTATATATAAAAGTGGAATCATTCCACTATTTAAGTGACATGAATTAAATACCACCCGAATATCCACCCCAACCCATGTTGTGTCATAGGCAGTGGTCGGGTAGGTGAGGCAAATGTTATAACTTATACAGATATGCACATGTCAATGGAATTGATTGACATATAACTTCCCTCGTTATTTGGTAAATGTACCATTTATTTTTCACTTTTTAGTTATCTACTTATCAAGAAAAATGAATAAATATTCCCGTTAATAAATAGTTATGTGTTGAGCATATGTACATTTAATGTTCAACTATCAAATTGTTGAAGGAGAACACATAGTTCAATAGATTATACGTTCGAACTTATCTCATACCAATGAAACATATATATCCTTCAATAGTGGAGGACATATTATATTGCAACTTTAGTGGCAGGCCATATATATTATATTGCAACTTTGTACAATAATGGAGACATTTTTTAATAGTGTGTTGAGAGGCATGGCATACTATCCATGAATTATTGTGTTTGTGGTGGTCATTAATGATAAGGGAGGGCATGGCCATTAATTATTATCTATAGTCATAAACTTTTGGTGATGAGTATTGAGTAGAGGTAGTTCATATGTATTTATCAAAATCCAGACACAATCAATAAATTCTAACAATGACCCCAGAACAGGGACATAACAACGTAACAGGTGTTTTTCGTGTTAATGGCCATGGCCGTAGTGTTTGTTACCATAAAGGAACACAATTTATTTTAATTCCCTATTTTCTATTTTCTGCATAATGTTCATTTTATGTACTTAATTGTGGTTTTAATTTGTTCAATAATGGTAGCTGAAAATGGCATATTAATTTATAGGTACCATTCTATGCGGCGGCACAGGTGACCGGAGCAACATCGGCGGCGTTCACTCTCCGTGTAATCTTAAACCCCATTAGACGTATCGGCACGACAACGCCGTCGGGGAACAACTATGTTCAAGCCCTAATCACGGAAATCGTTGTCACGTTTTCTATGATGTTTGTCACCTCCGCTGTCGCCACAGACACCAAAGCTGTAAGACATCTCTAAGCTTTTAGCTGAACGAAACACATTATTTTTTTAACTGAATTTTCAGGTCGTCACAGACACTAAACCTATAAGACATTTCTAAGCTTTTAGCTGAGACGAAACACATTTCTTTAACTGAATTTTCTCGATCATGTCATAGATCGGGAGCTGGCTGGCATTGCAGTGGGTTCGGCCGTGTGCATTACTTCAATCTTTGCTGGTAATTACAGAACCCGAAATCCCGTAAACTTGACTAGATTAGTTTTATCTGAAACTCGTTATGAACAGGCGATATCGGGGGATCGATGAACCCAGCAAGGACCATAGGGCCTGCAATAGCAAGCAACGATTATAAGGGCATATGGATCTACATTGTCGGACCTGTTTGCGGGACGCTGCTGGGGGCATGGTGCTATAGCTTTATCCGCCTCACAGACAAGCCACCCACGCCGTCCAACCGCAACATTTGCCGTCTTTCCAGTTGCGGAGAATGAAGAACGACAACGTTGAACACACGGCGGCTGATGTTCGGGATCCCCTCAATGCTCTGTGATCTATGGTTTCTTGGTTATCTATATATGTAACCAGGCCAGAAACCAAAGCTTCTTGGATGTAAATCTGATGACCATCCATTATGTGTTTAATTTGTACCTAATAAATATGAAATGTTCTGGTTGTACTATACAGTTATTATGTTTATATAAACGACTATGGGTGGATTATTTTTATTCTATCACATAGATACCAAGTTGAATGATGTGTTTTGTTTCTATTAATAATGTTAAATTAATAATTGAACTGAACATTTATAATTTATATATTACATTATGTACAAACCAAAAATAATCGGATTTGTCCTTCTCATCCTATGCTAAAAGCTCTCAATTTAATGCACTTTCTCGAAGTGTTCTACTTTCTATTTGGTTTGTCAAGTGCATAATTTGTGTGTTTAAAATCGTTGTGAAGCTTCAACACCCTTAAATACTTTGAGAAAAACAAAAAATTAATAGGCAAGAATATTTTGAGCGAGAATTAATTGTGTCATATACTTTACCCCCAATTGTTATATCGTGGAACAAAGTCCACAGTGCACTGTAGACCCTGGTCCAATATACATAATTTGACTTTATAATGTACAGAATTCATGTTCATAATGTACAAAATTTATATTCATAATACATATACACATAAATATCATAATGAACATGAATTCTGTGTATTATGAACATGAATTCTGTACATTATAAATATGAATTATATGTATTATGTTAAGTGTTTATGTGTCTTTATTATATCGTTTTATGTGTATTATAAATATAAATTCTGTAAAT